GGATGCTTAGGCTGACCCAGAAATATTGACCACATTTGACCCACCCATCTCGGCCTACTAAACGGCTAAGATTGCTTGGGTGAGTCAAAGCGCCCAGCACCATCTTCCTCATTTCTTTTTTAACAATAAAATCCGGTGGCCAAAAACGTTGCATCATGAAAGCCTCTCATCCAGGCGCTTCAAAAACCAAGGGTTGTGGATCTCTCGAGGATGCGGGTTCGAGACTGGCCCAACCAACATGGCAAAACCCCGTCTTTAAGATGAAAACAAAACTTGGGATGGGCTCGGCGACTCACGCCTGTAATCAGAGAACTTTGGAATGCCAAGGCGGCCGGTTTTTAGGCCACAATATCGAGACTTGCCTCGAACGACACAGTGCAACCCTCTCCCTATAAAAAACATAACCAAATATCAATATAAACGCTGAGACAGGCATTTCATGTGCTCGATTTGGCAGCACCTACACTAAAATTGGGACACAACACAGAAGGCCGGCATGGCTGCAGTGCAAGACTGACACGCAGATGTCTGCAGCATTTTGTATTTTTTTTTTTTTTGCCTGTGCGGCTCTTGTTTAGAAATCAAATACAGATAGATTTGAGTTACCAAAAAATAAAATAAAATTGAAAGTTAGCTGGATGCGGTGATGTGGACAACTGCAATCGCAGTTTCTTGGGAGGAATTGGCAGGACGATCACTGGAACCCAGGAGGCAGTTGTTGCAATAAGTCAAGATCGCACTGTTGCACTCCAGCCTGGGTGACAAGAGGAAAACAATATGTTATAATAAAAGGCAGGGCATGGGGTGGAGCCACCTGGCACCTCGTTTGGTTCTAATTGTGCACAGGAATCTGTCTGATTTCTGTTATTTTCTTTTTCTACTTCTTTTTTTATAAGTGAAATGGGTTTTCACCGAGATGCCCAGGCTGACCCAGAACTCGTGACCTCAGGTGAACCCCCCACCTCGACCTCCCAAATGGCTAGGATAGCTGGTGCTAGACACAGTGCTGGGCAAAGTCTCTCTGTTCTCTTTTTTTAACATGAATCTCGGCCTGCCAGGTACGGTGGCCCACAGGAACCTTTCATTTAGGCTCTTCGAAGACCAACGCAAAAAGAAATTTCAAGGATGCGGGTTAGAGACCCGCCCAACCAACATGGGAAATTTCCGTCTTCAGAACAAAAACAAAACTTGGGTTAGGCTCGGTGCCTCACACCTGTAATCCCATCACAGTGGAATTTCGAGCCAGGTGGACAGTGAGATAACAAATTCGATATTGGCCTCGAACGACACAGCACTATTCACTTGCTATAAACAACATCAAAACCGAAAGAAATAAAAAAGCTGAGCCAGGCACAACATGTGCTCGTTTTGGCAGCAAGTACACTACAATTGGGACGCTACATAGAAGGCCGGCCTTGCCTCAGCGCAACGATGACATGCTAAGCTGTGCAGTGTTCCATTTTTTATTAATTCATTTAGTTTTGCCATTGTGGCTGTTTTGTACAAATCAAATACAGATAGATTTTAGGTTTACAGAAATAAACAGAAAGTTAGCTGGACCTGGTCGTGTGACACATTCAAACTCAGTTACTTGGTAGGCATCCACAGGACGATCGCTGGAACCCACAAGGCAGTTTTTACAATAAGCTGAGATCACAGTGTTGCACTCCAGCCGGGGTGACAAGAGGAAGGCAGTACGTCATAAAGAAATACAAGGCGGGTGGTGGAGTCTCCTGGCACCTGGTTTTGTTCCAATTGTGCACACTAATCTGTCTGATTTCTCTTGTTTACTATTTCTTCTTCTCCTTTATTAAGTGGGGTGGATTTTCACCTGGATGCCCACGCTGACCCGGTACTTGTGACCGCAGGGTACATGCCCATCTCAGCCTATTAAAGGGCTGAGATACCTGTCGTGAGTCAAAGCGCCCAGCACAGTCTTCCTCACTTTTTTTTAACAATAAAATCCGGCGGCCAAGTATGGTGCATCATGGGAGCCTGTCATCCAGGCGCTTCAAAAACCAAGGGGTGTGGATCTTGCGAGGTTGCGGGTTCCAGACAGGCCCAACCAACATGGCGAAACCCCGTCTATAAGATGAAAACAAAACTTGGGCTGGGCTCGGCGAATCATGCCTGTAATCCCAAAAATTTGGAATGCTGAGGTGGCCGGATCGTTATGCCACAATATCGAGACTCGCCTCGAACGACACAGTGCCACCCTCTCTCTATAAAATACATATAATGATATAACAATAAAAACACTGAGACAGGCATTGCATGTGCTCGATTCGGCAGCACCTACACTAAAATTGGGATGCAACACAGAAGGCTGGCGTGGCCGCAGCGCAAGACTGACACGCAAATGTGTGCAGCGGTTTGTATTTTTTTTTTTTTTTTTAGTTCATGCGGCTGTATTTTAGAAATCCAATACAGATAGATTTGAGGTACCAAAAAAGAAAAATTGAAATTTAGCTGAATGTGGTGATGTGAACACCTTCAACCCCAGTTACTTGGGAGGCATTGGCAGAACGATCGCTGAATCCCAGGAGGCAGTTGTTGCAATAAGTCAAGATCGCACTGTTGTACTCCAGCCTGGGTGACAAGGGAGAAACAATAAGTCATAAAGAAAGGCAGAGCATGGGATGAAGCCACTCTGCACCTCATTTCGTTCCAATTGGGCACACTAATCTGTCTTATTTTCTATTTCTACTTCTTGTTTTCTAAGTGAAATGGTTTTCACGGAGATGCCCAGGCTGACCCGGAACTCGTGACCTCGGGTGAACTGCCCACCTCGACCTCCCTAATGGCTAAGATAGCTGGCGTTAGTCACAGCGCCGGGCACAGTCTCTCTGTTCTTTTCTTGTAACAAGAAATTCGGCCTGCCGGGTACAGTGGTCCACAGGAGCCTGTCATTTAGGTGCTTCAAAGACCAACTCGGAAAGAAATTTCGAGGATGTGGGTTAAAGACGCGTACGGCCAACATGGAAAAATTCCGTCTTTAGAACGAAAACCAAACTTGGGTTAGGCTCGGCGCCTCACACCTGTAATCTCATCACAGTGGAATATCGAGGCGTGCAGACAGTGAGATCACCAATTCAAGACTGGCCTTGAATGACACAGCGCTACCCGCTTGCTATAAACAACATAAAAACTGAAAGAAATAAAAAAGCTGATCCGGGCATGGCACGTGCTCGCTTCGGCAGCACGTACACTAAAATTATGACGCTAAAAAGAATGCGGGCCTGGCCTCAGCGCAAGGATGACATGCTAAGCCGTGCAGTGTTCCATTTTTTATTAATTCATTTAGTTTTGCCATTGTGGCTGTTTTGAACAAATCAAATACAGATAGATTATAGGTTCACAAACGTAAACAGAAAGTTAGCTGGACCTGGGGGTGTTGACACATTCAACCTCGGTTACTTGGGAGGCATCGGCAGGACGATCGCTTGAACCCACTAGGCAGTTGTCGCAATAAGCCAAGATCGCTGTGTTGCAGTCCATTCTGGGTGACAAGAGGAAAGCAGTATGTCATAACAAAAGGTGGGGTGGGGGGAGTCACCCAGCACTTGGTTTTGTTCCAATTGTGCACACGAATCTGTCTGATTTCTCTTGTTTACTATTTCTTGTTTTCTTTTTTAAGTGGGGTGGGTTTTCACCTGGATCACCAGGCTGACCCAGAATTCGAGATGGCAGGTGACCAGCCCATCTCGGCCTATTAAGGGCTGGGATTGCTGGCGTGAGCCAAAGTGCCCGGCACAGTCTCCCTCATTTCTTTTTTAACAATAAAATCCGGCGGCCAAAAACGGTGCATCATGGGAGCCTCTCATCCAGTCGCTTCGAAGACCAAGGGGTGTGGATCTCACGAGGATGTGGGTTCAAGACCAGCCCGACCAACATGTTGAAACTCCGTCTTCAAGACCAAAACAAAACTTGGGCTGGGCTCAGCGACTCACGCCTGTAATCCGAGAACATTGGAATGTTGAGGCGGGCGGATCATTAGGCCACCATATGGAGACTCGCCTCGAACGACACAGTGCAACCCTCTCTCTATAAAACACATATAACAATAAAAAAGCTGAGACAGGCATTGCATGTGCTCATTTCGGCAGCACCTACACTAAAATTGGGATGCAACACAGAAGGCCGGCGTGGCCACAGGGCAAAATTGACAAGCAATTGTGTGCAGCGTTTTGTATTTTTTTTTGCCCATGCTGCTATTTAGTAGAAATCAAATACAGATAGATTTGAGATACCAAAAAAAAAAAAAAATTGGTTGTTAGCTGGATGTGGTGAAGGTGACACCTGCAACTCCATTTACTTTGGAGGCATCAGCAGGACGATCATTTTAACCCAGGAGGAAGTTGTTGCAATAAGTCAAGATCGCACTGTTGCACTCCAGCCTGGGTGACAAGAGGGAAACAATACGTCATAAAGAAAGGCAGGGCATGGGGTTGAGCCAACCGGCACCGCATTTTGTTTCAATTTTGGACACTTATTTGTCTGATTTCTATTTTTTTCCAGTTTTACTTATTTTTTTAAGAGAAATTGTTTTTCACTGAGATGCCCAGGCTGACCCGGAACTCGTGACTTCAGGTGAACTGCCCATCTCGACCTCCCAAATGGCTAGGATTGCTGGCTTTAGTCACAGTGCCAGGCACAGTCTCTATTTTCTCTTTTTTTAACAGAAAACTCGGCCTGCCGAGTACGGTGGCCCACAGAAACCTGTCATTTAGGAGCTTCAAAGAACAACGCGGAAGGAGATTTTGAGGATGCAGGTTTGAGACCCGCCCGACCAACATGGGAAAATTCCGTCTTTAGAACAAAAACAAAACTTGGGTTAGGCTCGGCGCCTCACACCTGTAATCCCATCACAGTGGAATGTCGAGCTGGGCCGACAGTGAGATCACAAATTCGAGACTGGCCTCGAACCACTCAGCACTACCCGCTTGCTATAAACAACATAAAAACCGAAAGTAATAAAAAAGCTGAGCCGGGCATGGCATGTGCTCGCTTCGGCAGCACATACACTAAAATTGGGACGCTACATAGAAGGCCCGACTGGCCTCAGTGCAAGGATGACACGCTAAGCTGTGCAGCGTTCCATTTATTATTTATTCATTTAGTTTTGCCGTTGTGGCTGTTTTGTACAAATCAAATACAGATAGATTTTAGGTTCACAAAAATAAACAGGAAATTAGTTGGACCTGGTGGTGTTTACATGTTCAACCCCAGTTACTTGGGAGGCATCCATTCTGACGCAGAATCTTCCCAACTGTCAGCTGATCTCCCGAAGCCACTACTCGCCCATCTACCTGTACTTTGTCATGCTCTTGGCTTCCCTGAGCTGGCAGTATCTGATCACACTCTCTCATGTCATGGAAGACTATGTTTAGACTGCAGAAAACTGATCTCAAATTTGTCAGGAAGCTGAAGTTCACCATGAAATGGATTTACTTTTTTTCTTCGAGGATGGATGTTGGCTTCTACTTTTTTTTTCCTTCTAGATTAATCCCTAAAAGAACTCTGTGTGGCAGGGACCTTTAGGAAACTGAAATGTAGTTGAGAAGAATATAAACACGAAAGGAAAAAAAAAGGGTGGCTCACTGCAGCAACCTGTGCTTGGGAGACATGATGACTGTGCTACTTGTGGCTCATAGCAGAGCATTCTGTGCCATTCTTTAGTAGAAATGGCTGCATATGGGACTCTAGTGAGGTCTTATTTAGTGTGATCCTGGCTAGAAAATTAATTAAAAGTAATTTGATGCAAAAAATATATATATAATTGCTTTTAATTTACTATTTTTTGTAAGAAATAATATAAGAAAGAAGGCAAACAGACACATAAAAGCAAAGTATAGTATTGGTATTGAAACTTCTGCAGATAATCAAAATATTGATTTTCTTCAGAAGTAGAGCTTTCCCCTTAAGTAAGATTCTTCACTACCTTTTGTCACATGTCTATTCCAGCCTATGCGTTATTGAAACAATATCACTGATTAAATTTTGTTTCAAAAAGAGAAAAGTATTGTCATGGGCAAAATGTGCTCCTTCCAAAATTTATATGTTGAAGTCTCAGCCCCATATAATTCAGAATGTATGTAACTAGTATTTATAGAGGAAAAGAATTTGTACACAAAACATCTTGAAAATAAGATGACATGAAGATATAAGATGAAAATGGCCAAGGAGAGAAGCCTAGGGATGGTCCATCCTTAATGATCCTCAGAAAACAAAATTTTGACTGCACTTTTATCTAGGACTTCAAGTCTCCAGAAGTGAAAAAAATATATATCTGTTGTCTAACCAACCAATTTCTGATACTTTTTATGGTAGCCCTAGCAAATGCATAGAGTTATCAATAATGGAGTTATAACTCAAAACACAAGTGTGAATCTATGCATTCAATTGTGTTCTTTTGGACAAACTTAATTAAAATAATCAATAATAATAATTATAAAAGAAATTATACAGTGGCTCAAGTCTGTAATCCCAGCACTTTGGGAGGCTGAGGCAGGTGGATTATGAGGTCAAGAGATTGAGACTATCCTGGTCAACATGGTGAAAACCTGTCTCTACTAAAAACACAAAAAATTAGCTAGGCATGATCAGCTACTAAGGGGACTGAGGCAGGAGAATTTCCTGAACCCAGGAGGTGGGGGTTGCGGTGAGCCAAGATCGTGCCATTGCACTCCAGCCTGGGTAACAAGAGTGAAACTCCATCTCAAAAAAAAATTATATATTTATTCTGGAACATAAAAAGTTCACCAGAGATGGTCTAGCAATATTAAGAAAATTATTTGATATATAATTAAAGAAGGAGAAATTACTGGAAAGGCCAACTAATCTAATATTTTTCACTAATAGAAATATCTGGATGGATAAGAATGGAAACGAACATCCCAGGAAATTAAACTAACATCTAATTAAAAATCACTGAGGATCAGTGTAAATGGAAAAATGAGACAACGAAGAAAGCTATGGTAAAGAGATGCTTTTCTTTACAATTGTTCTTTGTTTTTTAAACAGATTTAATAAACTTTAATTTATATACAATAAATTTATCTGTTGTTAGGACAAATTTAACAATTTTAGTAAGTGTAAAGAGTTAACCACATCATCCAGTTTTAGAACATTTTCATCCCTCTTAAAAGATCTCTTACCAGTTAAGTTTGATCTCAAATGACTTTGGAAGGTGGAGTCAGTATTAGGATGCAGAGGTTTAGACAGTCTTTGTTCTCATGGGCTACATGATAACATCACCTACCTTATACTGTCCCCTTACCTGTAAACACTGCCATCATTTACTACACATACATGTGTTTATTTTATCAATGGAGCTCATGAGGTTGTCGGTGGCCTTGCCTTCATTTATGACACACATGACACACAATTGAGTCATGGTACCCCATTCTCCTAGACAATCATTGTTCAAGGGTGGTGACTCCTTTAGACTATAATGCTATGCCTAGTCCACCGAAACATCTTCAGTATCCCAGTAAAACTCTCATTAAGAATAAACCCAATTTATAGGAAGCAAAGCAGACTGATGGAGACGTAGAATTCCTTACCTGAAGCAAGTCAATTGCTTAAAATCCCCCATAATGTGAGCCAATAAATAACCCCCTCTTTATTTCACTAATTTGGGCTTCAAATTTACATTCTCTATTAATTACAGGACATCTTAACCATTGAAAATACTACTAAGAAACTAAGTTGTCCAGGGTACCTGGCAGAAGCAAGTACAAATCTCTTTGAAAGGTATATGCTCAACCCAGGTGAAGACCCAGATGAAGCATGCACAGTGTAAACTCAATAACAAAACAAATATGAGGAAACAAGCTACTTTAAATGCGAAGGGAAGCACGCACTATAGAACTAGGGCCATCCATGTTTTTGGATAAGGGAGATGTAGATTTGAATATAACCTAAGTATTTTTTAAAAGTAACATAAAAAAATGAAACAAGATGCTGCCAAAAATGACATTCTTTCTCTTTTATCATCATCTGAATGCTTGTCACAAGAAATTATGTTTGTTCAGAGATGATCCTTAAGTAGTAAAGGGAGCCAACATAAACATGTATGTTTCAGGAAAGAAAATACCTGTTTATCTAAAAAGTATTGGTGAACAATAGCCCCAGGCAGAATAATGTATCTTGATATTTTTGTTATTTTATTATTTATTTATTTTTTTTGAGATAGAGTCTCGCTCTGTAACCAGGTGCCAGGCTCCAGGCTGGAGTGCACTAGCTCAAGCTCACCTCACTGCAACCTCCACCTCCTGGGTTCAAGCAATGCTCCTGCCTCAGCCTTCCAAGTAGCTGGGACTACAGGCATTCGCCACCATGCCCAGCTAATTTTTGTATTTTTTAGTAGAGACAGGGTTTCACCATGTTGGCCAGGATGGTCTCGATCTCTTGGCCTTGTGATTCACCCACCTCGGCCTCCCAAATAGCTGGGATTATAGTCATGAGCCACCACGACTGGGCTTATTTTTATTTTTATTATGATATTTTATTATAATATAGCCTAGAAAATAATAATGCTTCTGTTTGACAGATGGGCCTAATTATACCATTTATTTAAAATTAGTAATTTGCTTGTAGCTCAAATTTAAGAAACAAGAAAAAAATAATTTGTTGGAATTTCCACTTTTGTTCTTTATTCTAGGATAAATGTACTTCAATGTAACTTCTGTTTTTAGAATGTGATATGCAGTGAACATTATTGACTTCTGAATAACATATGAAGAAGAAAGAATAATATATTTTCACAAATGAGAGCAATGGATGAGAAGCGAGGTTAAGTTAAGAACCAAAGAACTTTTCCTTAGCTATGACCTGTGAAAAGTACTTACTCTGAGTAAATTCATATTTATTGGAGAATTGGTAAATGCAATCCAAACTATGATGTGCTCCTCATGTGGGTCCTCCAAAAATTTTCAAAGGACTGTTTTCTAGTATAATGACACATGTGAAATACTTGGTTTAATTTTCAAGTCAAAGTTTATATGAATCGAAACAGGGTCAGGCTATAAGGTCAAGGATAACATAATAGCTGACATAGCACAAGGAAAAAGCTGCATTAAAAAATAAAAAACTAAGAAAAAAGGAAGTTACAGGAGACTGTAAATAAAATAATCTTGGTAAATATGATAGGCACATGACTAATATAGTTACAAATATTTTTATTACATTTTCATTGGTACATGGAATACCTATATAAGATATCCTTAAATATTAATCTTTGTGATGTTTTTCCTGACTCTATTGTGTTTTATTTCTGAATGAGAGTTGAAGTCATTTCTATTACTCAAGTGTAATTGGAGTAATTTACAAAAGAAATCCCAAGGAGAAAACCAGTCTATGTTGTCTTTGGCCTCCACAGTAAAATTTTCCTGCTGCTAAAGAACAAAAAGACTTTTAAATTCTAAATTTTTGTTATGCAAGGGCTGAAATTTCTAGAGTCATGCTAGCAATTGAGGTGGGAGAAAATTGAAAAATGAACAGTAAGGCATTGAAAGAGATGCAGCATCTGTGCAGTAACAATGAATTAGAAAGAGAAGCGAGGAAGACCCAGACAGCTTTATTTCCCAGAAAAATTAAATGAGTGACAATAAAATGGGAGAAAAGAGAGAAGGTGGAGATGTCGATAGATAAGCAAATGCAATTAGTACAGAATGTGAAGTAATTTATGGACAAAACAAAAATATACACCGCTTGAGGTTTTGATAATTAAATGAATTAATGTTCATAAATGCAACAGTGTCTGGCCTCAGTAGGTACTCAAACATATATTAATAGGTAAAATTTTATACATTATATTTTCATGTTTACCTAATAAAACCTGTTTTAAAATTGAATATCATATGAGTAAAGCTATGCATGATCTTTCTGAGCTATTTTGGGGGACTTTGATAGTGGACCTACAAATGATTCCTTTTTAATTATGGTTTTCTTTCAGTTCAGGGTGGGTCTACAAACGCTATTCAGGAGCTAGGGCCTGGAATTAGGAACTATGGGTGTCTGGCTGGTGCCTTATTTTACTGTGGCTGAGTTGGTGCCCAAGTTGCAAGACAAAGTCCTCTGGACTTTTTCTTCTTTGTTACCTCA